TTTTCAATTACCCAAATACAAGCAGAAATGTCGGTACTACTTTGATGTGCTAAAACGAAGTAACAGACCTTTAATTAAAGACAATAACTTACGCCGAAAGCGGAAAACTTGATCATATTCTTCCTCCACTCTCAGAGATTCAAGATCATATCAGAAAAACTTATGAAACGTAATTTATACAAATTTCATGTGATATCTAATGCGCCTTTACTTGAAGATTCATAATGTCCTATTACTACTTTTAGGCTCTGAACATCGTATAAATGGTAAAAAATATGCTGGTGAAGCTCATTTTGTACATCAAAATCCTTCAACGAATCAATTGGCTGTCTTAAGTTTTCTTATCATTGAATCTAAACATGAAGATACAGAATGGCGTACATATGTTGATAAAGCTGTAACGTTAAATTCAACTGGTTATCAAACAGTCTATGAAGGGAATTTGTCAGCATTAATGTATGCCCACACGGATAGTTACCAAGATTTTTGGTGGTATAATGGAAGGTATGTTAGTAATTAAATAAAATACATTCAGTTTTCGAATTAAAGTACCACGTCAGTAGAATAAAATGTAGCCTGCCAATGCAATGCTCTGTTTCATGGGTAATAGTGCGCTCGTGCGAACGGATGTACTAGTTGTGCGATATCAGTGTGAAATTGTCTGTTTGTTTTTAGACAATCACTAGCCCACGTCGTTGGAAGAACGCAAGGTGCAACATATGCGGATAACTGAGAAGCATTTTCGGTTTTTGGACAATGATTATTTAACTGCAGTAGTAACAGGAGTGGTTTGAAGTCAATAAAGTTCGAAAAATTTAAAAGGAACTGTATTACCTATGTACAAACAGTAGAATCAGCATTAAAAAATGAGTTACAAAAGTGTAAGGTATCACTTATACAGCTACTAATGCAAAAATTCGTACTCGTGTGCCAATAGGTATGACGCACTAATGCTGTACAGATAGTGGTGGAGCATACTGAAATAACAGTGTAACACTTCCTGTATAATATCAGTGAACGCTGGTACACTACGAAAAGAAAATTTGTGCATGAGTTTATCGAAAAAAAGTATTCTTCCAGGGCAGTCATATATATACTGTTTGTATTTATATTATAGCCTAACAACACCACCATGTTCTGAAAATGTCATCTGGATAATATTTCATGGTGGAATAGAATTTTCTGACAATGAATTACAATTATTACACAAATATGTATTTTTTGAAGACTTTCGAGAACCACAACCACTAAATAATCGAATAGTGCTAAGAAGTTATCCAAAAGAAGATGATTCAATGTTAACAGATCAATATTATTGTTGTAATAAGCAGCAACCACAATCATCAACATCATTCGTTTATTCTTATTTCACATGGCAATATTTGCTTCTTTTTACTATTTCTTGCTTTATTTCACTTAAACTATATTTATCAAGACTATACTAAACTATATTATATTTTATTCTCTGAAAAGTAAATTATGAATTATAATGAAAAGTACTTTAAGTACTTTTCATTGATAGGATTTTTTTCGATGATAGGACAAACGGGAATGATATTTCGCAATACAATATCTATTTAGTCATGCATAGATACTTAAGGGCGCCTTTCGAAATATATTCCGATCGGTCCCTATTCCGCTGTTTCTCTATTCCCTGACTATACCTCTATTATAGAATATTTCATTGTATAATCAAGCTTGATTTTCTTTTCTAATTAATTT